ACTGGTACATATTCATTTCTATAATTTCCTATTTTAAGAGGAAATTACTCAATCAATTGCTTCACTATTTTAAGTTTGAGTAAAGCAATTGTACTTCAACAACAAACGTGTTGTGATATTTATTCTCTTTCATTTTTGAGAATTATAAATCCATCAAGGATTTTCATATAAACATTAGTGTCTAATGACCCATAATTTCTAGGTCATGACTTTAATAAGCTGCATATCTAGAATTATTCTGCCAATCATGTAGCGGAACTTTAATAATATTTATCATGGGAGAGTATACTTGATTCTGGGTTTCTGCGTGAACCCTTAGGCTACAGACTCGCTTTATATCTCACCACATTATCATTCTTGTTTTCCTTCATACAAACACCATTTGTAAACCTACAGGGTTAATACTTCAATGGTGTACAAAAGGAATATATTAGCGAGTTGAGATGTATATGCCTTTAATTGCTCTCTCTATATATTAATCAACCTAGGCGCTTCTGGCACCTAGTTCTGGATCCAGATTGTCATATAATATGAGCAATTTGAAGGCAACTGTGTTGTCGACAACTTATAATATTTTCAAGAATTTCTCCCATATATATAAAAGTAATTTTCAAAGTTAACCAGATTATAGCCATTTCCCAATGATATTTATATCTGGTTGTTCCGCAACCCAGTATTATGTATATTTGGTGCACCTTATAAATTTACTGGGTTTTCTCGTCTTCTGGACGATCGTTATAAAGATATAACTTTTTTTTTAAGATTTTCAAGAGCTCTAAGATTTTCAAGAGTGACATAAATTCTTTACTAGATCTAGTTGATTCTTTATTTTTCTATCCCAATGAATCTCCCGCGCTTCTGGCGTCAAGGAGTATTGATAGATATATATGGTCCAATTTTGGGGAATATGTATGGGACCTAGTCACTCTTTTTATGAAAAAGATTATTTGGCAGATATGTTTGATTTCTTTCTGAACTTCCAGTTCAGTCTAATTGGTACGTGGATTTAATTTTTGAAGATCATTTCATGAAATTTCTCGGCATTCCATTTCAATTTTGATCATATCTCCCCCTAATGCCGTGAACCGATCTTCATGCAGTCAGCGTATCAATCGCGTCTCTCTCAGGGGCTTTAAATATTGGAGACAATAGATGGAGGTTTAGATGGATACGCTATGGTGGTTATGTAATAGATTGGACTGCATTCATAAGAATAGAAACGCAGATTTGGGAAATGTTTTTTTTTGAAAACCACGTATTAGATGTAAGGGGGAATAAGGATATGCAGTGTGCCGAAAATTTTAGCATAAATATAGAATTTCCCCACCAAGTATCCGGCACATTGAAAAGTTGAAAAATAATGGTTTAGTAATAACCCATAACTTTATTAATTAGCTAAACCATTTGGGTATGAGCATAAGGTACTTGATACTCCGCCTTAATGTTTAATGTCATATAATAATCGTCGAAAAAGGACGAAGTTCATAGGATAATCCATAAAATAGGCATTATCCATAAGGTACTAGATCATATATATCCATCTTTTTAGATCATAATGAACGAGTAACATATGTCTACTCATCAGATGAAGGATATTTGATCAAAGTAGGATATTTGATCGGATGAAGGCATTTCAATTTATAAAAAAATTGAAGGAGTAACAGTGAAGCTCTACCGGAACCCACAAAGGAAACCTTATCAATAATTGCAGGAAGAAGTTAGATGTTTGTATAAAGATCTTCCAAAATAAAACATCACTGAAATGATGTTGAATGAAAAAGTAGGTCATCAATATAACTAACAAGAGTGTTTGCTTCAGGCAAGGCAACTTGATTGGATTCAACATTGTGATGTTCATTTAGGTTTCAACAAAATGCTTCGAGATGTGGCACGCACGTGATCGGTGCCTTTTTAACCAACAATTGAAGCATATTTGTTGTTGGGCCAGAATTATGATCATATGAAGCAACGTTCTTTTCATTAAGGGTATATGAGTGCTTTTTTATTTTTATTTTTAAACAAGTACCCTTAGGTAGTATGAGTGACGCTCTTCTGGAGCCCACAATAGAAAACATTTATCAAATGGAAGGAAGAAGTTAGAGGTTTGTAGATAATGATCAAACCTTGAGCTCGTGTTTCAGTAGATCAACATTATTACCAACAAGAGTGTTTGCTTCACGCAATGCAGCATAGTTGGATTCAACCTTTTGCTTCTCATTATCGTGATTTTATAATCTGTTGGTAGTTTTCAACAAAATGCTTCGAGGTGTGGCACGTACTTGATCAGTGCCCTGTACACCCGCACTTGAAGCATACTCGTTGTTGGGCCAGAGGTCAAATTGTATGAAAGTGGTTGTCCTCGACGAGTTGGATCATATTGCTGTGTATTATGGTTTCGGGAGTTACTGTTGCCACCTTTGCCTTGATTCCTATCTCGACCTCTTCCTCGGCCCCTCTTGGTGTTGCATGAATGAGCAACATTGTGTGCTTCGGGCACAGGTGCAGAGTTAAATTGGGACACAATTTTGTGTGAAGCCAAATTATAATCAGTCACTGACTTTAGAAATCTTGAAATCTCAAGTTAAGTCAATCAAATTGTGTCTAAAGAAGGGCTAGGAATATTTGCTAGTTAAAGCTATCCTTCAGGGATTTTTATAAGGCAAAGGAATCTTTTTTCAGAAAGGTATTCATTTTTCAGGTCATGGTTCATATGGTGGCGAGGAAAAAGAAAAATTAAGGCTTTTAGCTTTCCAAGCCTCATCGCTCGTGGACTTCTAAGTAATTGCTCCCGTTGAAACCAAGCTCAGTGAATTCACACTCGATGATAGCAGCCAAGATCGAAATTTTGCAAAAAAAATTATATATACTAAGGCTGCCTAAAAACGAGGATCCACTTCTAAAGAATAATTTGACATTCGCATAATAATAAAACTATATATTACGCATATGAACTCATATAAAGCAAACAAATTGCACAATAATAGCAATTAAGTGTATGAGCATGCATAGATTTAAGGCTAGTCCAAATACCTTAAATAAATAAATATATGCCCAAATAACAAATGATGAAAGATGATTTTAAGAAAATTGAGTTAATCCAAAAAAGAGAAAAAAATTAAACCCAAATCTTAAAATAAATGAGTCTGGAATTTAAAGCAATCCCTAATACTTTAAACAAACCAAAGAAGACCCTCCAAAAATATCGAATTGGGCCAATCGTGGTCCAACATAATCCATCATCCTTGTTCAATAACTTATGAGCACAAAATGAGCCCCACAACAATAAACTCAAATCATTTGTATTAATAAGCCCAGATCTGACCAAATTGGGCCAGACCCGGCCCAAGTCTCCTTGTTATGGATTAAGCATAGTCCTCTCAACCCTAGTTGCCTTCAACATTATTCAAAACGCAGCACTCAATAAAACCGGAAAAACGTGCGAGAGAGGGAGAGAAAAGCGGATGCAAATGTCATCACCATCGGTCGCCACCGTCAACTATCGAAGCACCATGTCGCGGCCCTCTGCCGGAGCACCGCGCCTCTGCCTTCTGCCGGAACGATCGCGAGCCGACTTCTGCCGGACGATCGCATAACGCCGTCGTCGCCGTTGCAAAGCAGCGCCACCATCCCCAGAACGCAGATCGGGAATGGAAAGATGGTGGCAGATCGGAGACGGAAAATGTGAGCGGGATCCACCGTCGCCACAGCCTCCCTAAGCCGGAACATCGTGAACGGTAGCGGCAACCTCGTGGAGGAGCGTCGCCGCCTGTTGTCCTCCGCCCAAGCGCCGCCGCCTGCCTTCTCCAACCGAACTACGACCACTCGGGACGCAGATTGAAGGCGGATAACGGCGACCAAAAAAACAAAACAGGTTTTTGTTTTACACTTTTTTTTTTTTTTTTTTAAATGTGTATGCCGAAATATAAATAAATATATATATGAATTTCTCCATTCTTGTACTGAAGATGGTTTGTATAGACAAGATTTCAAGTTCCTTCTTGCTATTCACATAAAATACATACAGGATAATATATGTATATTTTAATATAAAATAAATTCGGTTTTTCTTTTTGAAAAAAAAATTGTATGAAAAAAAAACCAGTTTATGCTGTCAAAATTGCGCACTGAATAATGTTTCCAATATGCTAGAATGAACAATGCATATGTAAATTGCAGAGCAAGCATACAAGTCTGACTTAATACAGAAGAACTAGATGGAGAATTATATGCAAGCATTTGTATCATGTATGCCCAAATTTTACTACTAAAAGGTCTCATGCATTGTATTATTCCTGCTAAATTATTTTAAACAGCAATTCGAGATAGTAATAATAATAATAAAAAATCACGAACGCCAAATACTAATATAATATGCATAAAAAAATGCATAAATTACCGTTCACGGGGGATTGAGCGTGCGTACTGATAGCGTGTTGTAATGTTGTTTGTGCCCGTTGGCCTTTAGCTCCTAACCGGTGGATTGTAGCATTTGTATCAATAATATAAAAGATAAAAGTAAAATATAGAACAAGAGATATGGGTGAAGGAGGAGTAAAGATTCCATTATACCAACTACTCATTTGAGTACAAGGAAGAGATATAGGAGTAAAGATTCCATTATACCAACTACTCATTTGAGTACAAGGAAGAGATATATATAATACATTTGTAACGGAAAGCAGTAAATGATAGATATAAATATGAGCGTTACAACTGTTACAAAAGCTACTCATAATGTCCACATTATTAAGAAATACTTTATAACAACTCTATTATAATGTAGTATATATTTAATTTATTATAACTACTTTATCAATTTACTGAAAACACAAAAATTAAAACCGTCTTCACTGAAGATCAAAACTATATTGAACAAGATATTGTTAACATTGTCGGCTCAAGTTCCTGAATAATTGAAAGCAACCCCATCATATTTTTTCATTAATAATAATCAAATTACACACGTACGTACGATTACATTTGTTTTCTTTTCCACAAAGTACAACAACACATGCATATATTATATATAAATTGAGTACAGATAGATGGATGAACAGGAAATAGTTTTAATATTTGATAAAATAATAGTAAATCCTTCCGGCCTGTGAAGTAGTCTGCAAATTAAAGGGCTGCTTATTTACTTATATTATATATATTGCTTCTCTACTTCACTTTCGTGGCGGCACTCAATGCACTTGTCCTGCAGGAGTGAATGAATGAATTAGAAATTTCAAGTTTGAATAATATAAGAGCATCCAGACCTATGTTTTTTTCTTTATTTTTGCATAATATATAAAACTGACCAGGAATTCCTAGAGGATGAACATTTTGAGTAGTTTTTTCTCCTGCAAGTAAAGATTTTTGTTAGACAAAAAAAATAAAAAAGAACCTTAATTAAAATACAGTGGAGTAAAATGGTGGATTCATAAAAATAAAGTGAGTTAACCCACTTTGTATTTGAAAAAACAAAGATCAAAATATCTTTATATTTAACTACATTTCAACGATTTTATTGACAAAGGACAACGAATGATCATGTCACAATAATACTAGGACTATAAATGAATATTTTGAAAAAAGAATAACTAAAAGTGAACTGTCACCTATAAATCTAGGACAAAAAATGGAATTAATTCTACTAAAAGCTTGTGCTAGCTTCTATATATATTGGTATGCATTTATTAATTAAATGAGATATTAATTGTTGACATATATACCACCTTTTGGTGATCCATCATGGCCTGCCCCCTTGCTGGGTGGATGCGGAGTTGCAACTAGATTATCAAACCCGCCCGCAAGTGAATTAGTGTTAATTACGGGGACCTTGGGGATGAAACCTGCGTTGCACATAATGGGAAATGGGAGACAGGAAAATAACAAATTAAGAAAAATGTTAGGAAATTATAAGTGGAAATTAAGACTTGATCCTTTACCAGCTTCAGTCCAACAATTTTTTTAGTCACATAGTACTGAATTTGACCATTTACCAACTTATGTTCAACACAATATAATTACCATAACCCTTAAATGTCTGAATTTAACTTCTTTCTAAAAAATCAAAACAAAAATCTTTCTTAAAGTGACACTATCTAATTAGTTAACGAGGACAATCAATCATCAATCAACAAAATAACATCATCACCAAGTTAAGGACCTTGTGGTCCAATGATACCAAGTTGCTCCTCTATATGGGAAGTGATATGTTCAAGCTTCGGTGGAGGTCAAAGTAGCTATTTCAATTAAGTTTTTTAGAAAAGAAATTATACTAAACAAGTAAACAACTATCAGTTAACAGCTAATTTATCAAACACCTTCCTATAAATCAGGTGTCAGCTAAATGATAACGTTAATTGTTGACATACCACTTAGTAATCCACGGCGGCCTGCCACCTTGTACGTCGTTGGCTGATGTTCATTATTTTCGGCGGCATTCCCTACAACAAATTACATATTATTCCTTTCGTCTCATATTATGTATTTAATTTTTCTAAACTAAACGGATAGAATACCCCAAAAAAATGAATATGTGATTTTTTTATTTTTTTATTTTTAAATGCTAGACCAAAGAATTACTTGTCAATGAAATTTAAAAAGACAACTAAAAAAAAAAAAAAAAAAAACAAAAACACGAAGTGAGAATTGGGTTTCAGTAGTGCTTACCGAACAAGTTACCGAGAAAGTTCGTGTAGGCATCTGTAGTAGTGGAGCAGAGAAAGGAAGTGATGATGAGAAGTGAGAAAATTAGAGAAAAGTTGTTGCTACCCATGCTTTTTTGTATAGTTGAGTGAATAATATATGATTTTTGGATATGGGCTTTAATTTATGCAACTTCACCTCGTTTTTATACTAGTAGATCAGAAGAACAAAGCCTCTGTTAGAGTGTTTGACATGATAATGAGAGTGGGGTAGACAACATCACCATATTTTTGTAAAAGTAATAAGTTTCAAATTAGCCAGGCCACTAAACTAAATAAATCTATTCAACTAAGAAGAAAAAACATATAATAATGAATTTTCTAAACTTACAAAAATCATGCAATTAGGTTTAAATTGGCATGCCATCCAGATGACCAGATTAACCGCTAACGTGACAATTAACCTTAAATAAATTATTTTATTTATTAATTTTATTTGTTAAAAAATAATAATTTATTAAAGGTTAATAAATAAATATAAAAATTGTTATTAGCAAATTAGGTTGTATACGTTATTACATTTATCTCGGTCGCGGTAATATAGGAATTATGTCCAAAGTAGATAGAATATTCCTTTTGCGCACTGGCTTTTAGTCTTATTTACTGAGCCATTGAATTACCGAGATTTACATCTTTCCAAATGCTCTATCAGGTCGGGGTGTGGGAGACCATTGAGAGAAAAAATGTTGTTTACATTTAAGTTAAATTTATGAAGAAAAAATAACATTTCGTTTTGTTATTACCCATGAATGGTAGTTCGAGCAATTACCCATGAATAGACGGAATTGTTGTCTGAAGGTTACATACAAGTAGACAATTGTTCGGTCAAACCGAACAGTCACGTTCGAATGGTGACTATTCGTTCAATGTTCTGAATAGTAAAACAGAGTTTACACTTGAATAACAGGGGCTCTAAGTTAGAAAAAAATATACAAAAATTTGGCATAACTTAACCCACAACGCCAATCAATTTTCCGGACAACATTCTTCTTCACATGTGCAAGCATACACAAGTCTAGCCTTTTCAAGCTCATTTTAGGATTTGGTTTGCACCCCTGTGCGCAAGCGAGAGTCTTTATGCTATGTGTATTGATTTTTTGGAGGAAGAAGAAAAGAAATGATTATAAATTGTGGCCCACATTTTTTTGAATTACAAGGTGGTATCTGTTCACCTGTTCTATACTTTCTCAAACTACTGCAGCCTAAAAAATCAATATCCCACCAACGGAATTTGATCTTGTGACCTTTCCTCGAGGAAAGCTACAAAGGTGTCATCTGAGCACAAGGTGCTTGGCACTCATTTTCAATTAGTCGTACTTTTAAGCTTCAATGAGATCAAGCCATACTAATAAAAACCAGAGTAATTAAAATATACCAAACTTTATTTCTTATTAGAAAATAACGTTAGGATATCTATAAATTGAAATAACTAAAATTTGTATGTAACGTAGGAGCATTTTAAATTACAAATTCTCCACTGAAATGAAAGTTCCTTCAATGGCATCACGTTTAGAGGTGCCTATGAAGTTTCAATTTTTATTTTTATTTAAAGCCTCAATTCTTTTGTATGTGGACCACAATAATGGAGCAGGCCATGTGCTGATGTTCCTATGAAATTCTTTAAAGTCTTAATTCTTTCAATAGACCAGGTGTGTGGACCAGTCCAAAAATGACTTCATTTTGTGCAGTTTTTTTACGCGACTGATTGTAATATATATTTGTATAACTCATAATATACATTATTTTAATACATAAAATATATTATTCTAACATAGTATATTATTGTAACATATAATGTACATTAATTTTTTCTCAAAAATAATGTACATTAATTTTTTTTTACGCGTATTGCGCGAATGGGATAATGTCCAATAATTATTTATAAATAACTTCTTTAAAATATATCAATGTAATATTATGTAGGAGACGTTCTTGCGTAGGTAATTGAATGTTTAATTTGTTTAAAGTATATAAATGCAAGATAATATATGAGATAATGATTATAATTATCACTAAAATAAATGTTTACAACTTTGTAATAACGCTAGTCTAAAAGCGATAGTATTATATAAATAAATATTACCACTACTGGAAATTATGGAATTTCCGATCACCTGAAAGTGATCTTAAATCAAATCTAAAGTAAAAAGTGGTCGGAAATAGCTATAAAGGTTTTTCCGGATGCCAAAAGTGGTCAGAACAAAGCTTTTGACATGATTTTTGACCATTTTCAGGTGGTCGGAAATTGGATAATTTTCAGCAGTGTACTTTTGGTTTAAATTTCTCAAAGTCTTCTTAATTCTCTTTTGGGGAGCATTATCATTGTCTTTATATTCAGTACATGTCATGTCTTTTTTTTTTTATTGGTAGTATGTCATGTGCAATTGGGTTACTGGTGATAGCATAGAGGGCATCATCATGCAATGAGATTATGGTGTTGGAGTTTTTAGATTTTCTTTGCTGTGTATATGACTAAGATCTTAGTTGTACTATGAACTCGTTATCTTACAAGTGCATATTGATATTTGGTAGTGGTAGTTTTTCCCTACATGTTTCATGTGTTGTGAGATGTGTGTCATAGATTATAATGTGAAAGTATTGAACAAAATATTAATATTTATTATATTTATATAAATTACCTAGTAAATAAATATATAAATTCTTATGTTGGTTTCGCTATTTCAGATTGCAAGTCTTTTTTGACTACTTTCACTTACTGTCAAGTTAGTTATGTGCCTAGATCAGCTAATTTAATTGCTCGTACTCTAGATTCTGCGGCCTTTCATCAAGCTAGCACGATGTATTGGGACTCGGTCCCCAACTCCATTTATGCGTTGATTCAGTAATCTATACTCGTCTTTTGCTTTCTATATATATATATATACTATAACTTTGATTTTGATATATATTTAATTACAAGATAATGTAAGAAGAAGACAATGGGCAATGTAGTGAATATAATTAATTAATGAATTTGAATTGAAGGTAATAAATCTTTAAATTTTAGAAAATAAATATAATATAACTAATGAAATTATATATCTTTTTAAATTTTTTATAATGAATAATTTTTTTTTGAATAACGACATTATATACATCTAATTCTAAATTAATTAAATGCATATGTATTATTTTTTGTTGTAGCTATCAATTTATTTAATTTAATAAGAGTAATAAAGTGGTGTACATACTTTTCGTCAACAACATTAAAGTCATTGATTTTTTAAATTTACATTCGGTGTTGAGACAAATTGTTTTGGGAGTTTGTCAATGAAAATTGATACAATTGCTGTAAATAGATGATGATAATAAATAATTCAAAATATATTGTTACAATAGATATTGTTATAATGATATAATAAAAATTAACTTACAAATTTTTTTAGAAACTTTCATACATTGATAAAATTCTAAGAACGATATGTAAACTTGTTCAATTTGAGCTAGTGAGACGTAACATTGTCAATTCTTTGGAAAATTGGCCTATCGTTTTAGAGTCCATGTGTAATTGTATTTCTGATGAACAACTTTGTAATTAGGTCGTGCAGGTCTGACAATGATGTAAGAACAATTTTGTCCGATAAAAAAATAATAGTATAATATTTGTAAAGTAATGTACAATTGTACCATTATAAAAAGACATAAAAAAAAACATTAATACCATAATGACCTAAACATTCCAATAATGCAAAAAAAAAAAAAACATAATTGAAATATTGAGTTTTGTTCTAAATAATCAAACGAAGATGAATTAAACGAAAAAAAAAATAAAATAAAATAAACTTAACCTAAATTTGTTTTTTTTTTTTTTTTGTTTTTTTTTGTTTTAAATGCAAGAAAATGATTTTCAAAGTTCATCATTTATAATCTTTGATACTCAACTTTGAATGTTTTGTATTTAGTTGGGCTAATTACTTGACCAAAGTTTATGTTAATTTTTATATTGTATTTATTTTTTTAATACTCCGAATTTTAACATATTCATAGTATATATATATATTTAACTATTATGTCAACTCTGATTGAGATGAGGTTCAAACCTAAGACCTTTCTTAGAGAAACTAATGAGTAAGTTAAGAACCATAAATAGTTAACGGAATATTCCGTTACTAAAGTTTATACTAATGGAATCTAGGATTATTTAAGGGAAGAAAATAATATAATAGAGGGTAAATAAGGAAAATAATAAAAAAAATACTAAAATTAAAATAATATGAACCATTCATTTCAAGAAACAATTACACCGATATTTTTTTGTTCCAGTTAAGAGTCTAACATTATTGACTCTTATTAAATTTGTAGATTATCTTACCCAAAAAAGTTTCATTATTCTAACTCATAATGTATATTATTTTAACACATAAAATACATTATTCTAACATATAATGTACATTATCTTACCTCAAAAATTTTATTATTCTAACACATAAAATTCAGCAACGTCGTTTTGAACTGTGGTCCACCATCCACGCAATAATTAATATGTGGACCACAATAATGGAGTTTGGACTGAAATGCCCCATAGGGGGCCATCAACTCTGAATTATTTGGACCACAATAATGATGTTTCATGTTTGTACTAATATGGCATACGATATTTGAGCATGTAAGCTTTTGTTTACAGAAATACCACAACCTAATTGGCTACTCGTAAATAGGCTATTCCAGAATTGCTTTAAGTTAAAGAGAAAATTGTAAAAAATGCCGCTTTATAATATGTCAATTATCAATGTCACCCCTGAATTATGAGTGGTGTAAATGTTACCCCTCAATTATCAAAACGGTACACATATAACCCCTCCCGTGACGGATATGTGGTTCCCCGTTACTGTACGACACCGTTAAGTCGGAGTAAATATGTAATTTAGTTGTTTTTTCCCTCCCCCGATTCGAAGTATCAGCGATGGACAGCGGTGGGGAACCACAAGTCCGTTACGGGAGGGGCTATATGTGCACCATTTTGATAATCGAGGGGCAACATTTACACCACTCATAATTCAGGGGTGACATTGATAATTGACATATTATAGAGGGGCATTTTTTACAATTTTCCCTATATTATTCGAACATCACAAAGTATGATTTTTTACAAAGAGTACGGCATTATCTGTTCATAACTACTTTCTCAACCTACTGAAGCACACATCTCCATTGACGTTCGAATCCA